CTCTGAACTAGCACAGAACTAAGAAGAGCAGAGGGCAGACCCAGGATACTATTCAAACACAGGCGAGCTGTAGGTATGAGTTTCTGCTGGAGACTTTTACACCTGGCTTCCCAGTGAGCTGTCTATCTATCTACCATCTATCTCTATGTGATAGAGCAAACTCTGCTTCTCTGCTTAATACACATTTCATGTTTCAGACCTTGCCAGAAAGACAAATGGTTTTGTTGCTGCCAGTTGTGAACATTACACATTTGCCAGGGAGATGTCGCGCTTGTTTGCTACAAATGTAATTAGATGATCAATCACGAGGAACCAAGGAGAAATACCAGCACTGCAAACAAACATATTTTTCAGTTTGCTCTCTGAAAAGAACGGGGAGTTAACTACAAAGGAGAGAAAAACTCTGGCTCTGCATTTACAGTCTCTATCCTGGCCCCCTTTTCCTTGTCATTTCCAGCAGGGAGTAGCAGCCAGACAGCAGATTTCCTCCAGTTGCTGAAAGACATCTGGCAAGCTTGGGAACTCGTGGAGAGAGGCTATTTTCCTCTGGATGGCAAGCTGCTTCCCAGTTAGCCTATGCTTGAACAGGGGCACTCAAGGAAGTTAATGTAAAGGGGATTAGCCCAGACCCGGGTGTACGCCTGAATCGACAGAAGGGGAAAGCAGCAGAGATGCTCTGTGTGATGCAGGCATGCTGCTGCACTGCTGGCATCAAACACAAGGCTGCAACCTTGCTGCTCTGTCCTGCCCTTCACCTCCCAGTAAATCCATATCTGGATTAGCTCGGCCATACTAAAAATCTGTGTGGACTCTGTATGGGAATTAAAGTGGCTTTACTGCAGTTAATTCACAGAGGAATTTTTTCCATTTCAGGACTCTACCCACATCTGTATCCAAAGTCTCAGCTAAAACTGAGACTTTGTTTTGCCTCTGGCAGTAGCGTACAGGGATACTGAAACTCAACAAGGTCCCACAAGGACAGTGCAGAGCGAGGTGCCATTTGTACTACCTTTTCTCTGTATTTATGATCCCTTCCCTCTGCCTCCATATGAAAATGCAGGTGCCTGGACAAACGCACTAAAAAGCACTCTTTTTTCTAGTCAGCTTTTGTAAGTGTTTCTTTCTTCTCTACTGAGAAACTGTCAGCAGTAAAATAAAGTGCTCCTTAAAGCAGTACTGAAAGACTCACAATACTCCCTAATGGCCACCGTAACGCTTCCAAATGATGCCAGTTTTGTGTCTGGAGAAATTAAGATTATTTTTAGGACTGAAAACTCAAACTCTCAAAGGTTAGGAATTAACAGAGTTGTCCATGTAATTGTAGTTTTCTACCATATGGGTATGTACTAGATACAGCCTTTAATTGCATGATCACAAATTATACTGTGTTTTAGTTTCCCTATTTCATGCAAAATATTTGGAACTTTTTTTGTGTTTCTTTTTCCCAAATTAAAACTTTTTTTTTTTACAATAGAAATATCAAAACTTTTCATTTGTACAATGTTCAGACATCACCTCTTAACTTTCCTCATGATGACCAGCTGCATGAAAAGACAAAAATTATTGCTGTAAAAAAAAGTTTGACTGAAAGAAAAAAAAAAATATTGCAGAAGCTACAGAAGGAAATGGAAGAGAATTTTTGCTCACTTTATCCAGGGCCTTCTATATTGTCCCTAATCCCCATCAAGTAAATGCCCAATAGTGGACATGAGAGATTAGCTGTATATAGTTCCTCCAACTCTGCCATTGAGTTGCAACGGCCTGTAAGATGAGCAGGGATAGAATTACTGTGTACATAACTCACCCTTGCCTCTGGCCTTGTCTCCATGAAGCACAATTCTGTTTTGTGAACTGCAGAGCTCAGAAGGAGCTAGAATAGGACCAAGGGGCTGATCCTGCACATATCAAATCATTCCACTCCTTTTATACTTTTAAGATACTTTTATACTTCCAAGATGCTTTTTTTTTCATCCTGCATTTTATGCATGTTTCTGCCTTCTCTAGGTAGTTTTGCATTATCAAAGGGCAACAGGAGAAAAGAAAAAATTGTTGCTGCATTTAGTATTGATTTTTCTCCTTCACTCTGAGTCACATAAGCTAACATTTAATTAATTTCTGACACTTTGACAGTTTCTAAGACGACATTTGTAGAGCTATCAAGTGCCGCTGATAGCACTGTCAGACAGACACTTTTTGAATTATCAGCTATTAAGGACCCATATGCAACAAATTTCCCAGGATTATTATACAAATTGTTCTTTGAATGAGAAAAGCACACAGAAGCTCAGTGAAACATAAAGAAACCATTGTTCCCAGGTGAATTTGATATTTGCAAATGTTTTGCTATTTTGATCACTTACATGGCTTAATAAATCGAATTCACTTTGTCTTTTATTAAGAAAATTAAATGGCCTGTTTTGGGATGTCTGAGAACATGGCCAGATTTTCAAATCACAGTGGTCTTTATGGAGATACAGCTTGAGAAACATGGAATACTTGATTTTAGGAAGTGCTGAGGAGTGAATGAGGTCCCTTCAAGATCTCTCAAACCAGAAACCCCAAAGCCAAAGTAGCCAAAATCTCCAGTTGCTTTTAAACAGCTCTTGCCTTTACTCTTTGATCATGCTCTCTGACATGTCACCATTTCTTGACGTAGTGACTACTTGAGGCCCAGGTACAGATCTTGGTACTTTGCTTTTAAACACACAAGCAAACCTGGCAAGGGGCTGAAATGATCAACCTGGATTAATGCCATTCCAGAGACCCTCTGCAGCTGTGGGTGGCAGTTCGGGTACAACAACTCTATTTTTGCTGGCCTCACTATACTAATTTACCAATTGACAAAGAAGCTCTGTTTCAACAAATGGGACAGAGCTGTAGTTCACCTTGCTCAAAGGCACTGCTCTGACTTGATGTTAGCATTTGTCTGCCTCTGCTGTATGCCAGAGCCGTGTTACTATGATCAGATTGCTCTACTTGCTTGTCCTTGGAGCATCTGGCACTAGTGGTTCTGATGAGCTCAGGGAACCTATTAGCTCATACAGTGAAATTCAGCTCAATGCTCCTCTCCTCATGGCCTTTGTGGCTCTCTGAAAGGCAGACTCAGGTGGACACCAGTCAGATCTGAGCATGTCCAGTTCTGCCTGTACTACCGGCTCTGTTATGCGGAGGATAGGGATGATTTGCAGATTTAGGCAATACTCATATTTTAGCCCATACTGCTTCAGCAAACACAAATCGTGTGGAAATCCCATCTTATTCTAAGTGTGTAGAAACTCCAGCAGGACCCAGACATGGTGTGGAAATACCCAGAAGATGGTGTCAACTATCACGAGATCTTAAGCGAGCCCACCTAAATGAGAGCCAGAAGAGCCTCACCACACAGCCAGGAAAAAGTCTTTCCAGTATGCCAGAGCCAGTGGCCAAATATACTGCAATCTCATTGTAAACGTGGAATTTCTGTTTTTCATATGCTGCTACCAGACAAAGTCCCCAACATAGACACCTGCTTTTAAGCTTTGTCCCCATGATGTAGCTTAACTTTTAGCCAGTTTCTTACAATGTGGACATATGTGCAGATGGATGCCAGCTGCAGATCTAAGGGTATGCAGAGTCCTCATATCACTGCTTTGCATCAACTGCTGGCATAAAATCCATATGACCTCATGGACATTCATGCACCTTCACTAGCCTGCACCGTACAGAAACATGACCTAATAGTTATCAGTTCTACTGCAGTGTATCATCAGAGCAGAAACCACAGCCTTCCCTTCACATACCACATCCCACACTTCAGCTTTGTTTATACATCTTCCTCAGCAGAGAGTAGCTTTTTGCTGTCTGCTTTTGCAGCTAATAACTCTCAAACCTCTATATCCAGACAGCAACATTTCTTTAGAATATTGTTTCCTCATATGTGTTCAGTTCATTTTCATTCTTCTTCCTCTTCATCCATAAAAATACCTGTAAGGCCGTGACCCGATCCATAGCGAGTGGAAACCAAAGGAAGGCCCCTTGGTGACAGCCCCCTTACTGTGTGCCAAAAATGGCCCAGCTATGGAAGCAGAGCACAGAGGCAGCTGTGGGAGACAGAAAAAGTCCAAAAGACTAGAAAACACTTGTAGCTGTCTTTGCTACACCTGCATAAAACAAACACAAAAGCCTAAATAGGTTCTAGGGAACTCTACAGCAAAAGCCACCATTTGTTTATACGTTACCTTTGAAAGAGTGCACAGCACATGGCCATTGGCCAGGAAAGAAATGATGGTTTGCCGTGATGCCACAGATTTCCAAGGAGACCTGTCTTCCCAGTGCCAGGAGCTGCAGAGGCTGGGTTGTGGGATGGCACCCAATCACGCCCCCCCCATTTTCCTCTTTGCACTGCAACCTCACTGGGGGAATGGCAGAAGGCAGGCACAGTCCAGCCCTGACTTCAAAACTGCTACTGTCAAGTTTCATTATCATCACAATTTGGTTCATAGGTTTATTTATTTATTTATTTCCCTGCTGGAGGGAAAAAATAAGGAAAAGCAAAGGAGGAAAAAAAAAAAAAAGAACACAGCCCAAAGCCCCATGAAGCACATGAAAAATAAACAAAGTGGATCGTGGGAGATCTGCCCTGAACTGTGCACACCTAACATGGAGCAGTTAGTGTTTAGGGAATGTCAGCGGCGCGGGCACAAAAATCCCAGGCACTCTGCCTGAGTCGGCTGTAACACAGAGTAACTAATATCCCCGGCCACAGAAATCTGGGGGATGAACTGGAAATAGAAATTAACTTCTTGAATCCCTGCCTAGGTATCTGACCATCAGTTCAGCCTCCCACCTGGGTCTTCATCACATTTCCAGTCAGTCAACCATTTGCACACAGGAATTCAGGGTAGGGGGAACAGGCTCCAGAGAATCCCAAGAGTGAGGAAGCACATGCGTAATTGTTTTATTTTTATTTTACATGTTGGCCTTTGACTGTCTTTTCAACATCTTTGTGTCAGGGTGGAGCTGGAACCTGGCACTTTTACCTCCATGGAGCCCCTAAACCTGTCTTGGTACAACGGTGACATCGGTGACAGGAACTGGAGCAAGCCACTCAACGAGTCCAATGCAGACCAGAAGCCTCAGTATAACTACTATGCCATGCTGCTCACCCTCCTCATCTTTGTCATTGTTTTTGGCAATGTGCTGGTGTGTATGGCTGTGTCCAGGGAAAAAGCCCTTCAGACTACCACTAATTACCTGATCGTGAGTTTGGCAGTGGCAGATCTCTTGGTAGCAACTCTGGTCATGCCTTGGGTGGTCTATCTGGAGGTAGGTGACCCCGTTTTCTTTTGCAGTACTGAATGTTTCTGGTAAATAGGAAGAGAGAGAGAAGTTTTAGCAGCCTGGACATCAGCTATTTCAAGACCTCCTGAATTTCCAAAAAAAATAAGTGTTTTTAATTTCCTAACAGTTAGTCAGATTTTTCCAGGAAATGGACATGATAGCAGATGACAGGCTGACTTGAAAATACACTGTTGTTCAGAGGGCTAAATTACAATCCAATTGCATTGAAAATCTGGCCTTTAAATAGAAGGGTCAAGAATTTTGTTTTCAAAACAATACAGATGAACTGTTCATTCCCAAGCATAAGGATGAGTCTGCAACAACATCATGGGTGTCACACTGATAAACTGCATCAAATAGTAATCAGAACCCTATTCCTGAAGGACTACAGAAGTAAGAAGAGCAGGCAATTGTAGAAGTAGGATGCAAATCCAGAGCTTTTATGTCACAATATACGAGAGAAACAGAATCACCAGTGAGCTACTTTTCACATTACTGCCGTTAGCGCATCACTTTGGTACAAAAGAGCTCTATGCTTCTCCATACAGCGCCATCTTTGAGTGGCACTATGGCTGGTGAAAGTCAAATACTCCCAAAACTTCCACCTATTTTTTTAATGGCAAATGACTCTTGCAACAGTAAATAGCCTGAAAGAATGAAATGCATCTCTAGAGGAAAGAATAAGAGAAGATATGCAGCCCCTCTGCCTTGGCCCCCTTTGCTGGGGGGGCTGTGTTCTTCAGTCAGCTGAGAGCTGGCATGCTGGTGGCAATCATAACCAACAGAGAATGAACAGTGGTGAGAACGCATGAGACTGAAACTATATTGAGTTTACAATTAATTTTCAGGCATTTGTTTATGAGAGAAAATGATAAAAAAGAGAGGAGAGCAGGGGAAGAAGCCATTATCAATTAGCCCATTAAGTACTAATGCAAAGCAAAACAAACCCACTGACATGACATAGGCTGTTGAGAAAGCACAATACTAATTATCACTCTAGTTAATTATTGTTTTCATGGCACTTTAAAAATGTAAAGCATCATGCATCTGCTAAAGCTTATTAAGCATGACCACAGGCTGGTTGTGATTGTAGTCAATGCCTCTGGGACTACTTGCGCACTTCCATTATATTTCTCTTTTGCGACAACCCATTTTAAACGGAGGCTTATGCTGCGAGAAGCTCTTGCTCTCTTAGGCCCAGCTATAAGAGTCTCTAGTCACTTCTTATTTTAATGTGAAAGAATAAAGCACAAATTATGTAAGATGCTTTCCCCTTTCTGGGCTCATGTGTGCATGGAGTTGGCCAGGAACCTCAGCTTCCTTAGTCTACCAAGTAGGACAATCAGGACTCTACATCTCAGCAATACTTTTTTCTTTTCTTAATTTACTTTTGCCCTTTCTGCTCTTATCCACACTCTGCTAAACCTACTGCTAGCTTGAAGCAACAAAAAAACATGACAAATACTTGTTGACAAAGAAGCAGCCTTTGGACTGACGTGGGTTACGCACACTGTGGTCCCTCTCTGGGTCTGCAATCTGAAATCAAAACTGGCCAGAACCCTTTGTACTGTAAATATCTTCATTTTTGTGCAGGCTTTGTATCACAAGCTCAGACAAAAATGAATGTCAAAAGGAAATCCTTTTAAAAATCAGCCTCGATGCAAACAAATCTTCTACCTCCAAACTTCTGAGGTTTCTCCTACATAAATGAAAACACTAAGAGAAAGAACTGCTGCGGTTTACAGCATCTCCCATAAACTTGAAATGATGCTTTCAGGAAACTGATTTTCCAGAGACTTATATCTGGCTGGAAACCTTTGCCTTTAGGCAAATTCTCATCAAAGTTACTGATGTAACTGTCTCTTAAGTGCTTTTTTAGTCCCTGGGTATTCATCTGTCACTCAGGCTTCAAAGCAGTCATTCTTTCTTCCTTCTTTATGCTGCCTATGGTTATGTATATCAGAGCAGAAATAACTGAAGAATAGATATCTTATTCATTCTATTTTCAAATGCAGCAGGACTGTATTTTTATTAGAGGGAAATATACTTTTTCCATCACATGTCAAATACAGCAGTCCTAATAATTGCTATTGAACTTAATTGGCAAAGTTCAGTTTCAATAGCAAGATAAGGGAAGAGAAAAAAGCTACTGGTAACTGGAAGTGTTATCATTAGTTCTTTGTCTTTATCACAACGTGTAGTTTGTCAAAGAGTTTTCGCTCTGAATTAAATTCATTTCGTTCACAAAAACAAAACAAAACAAAACAAAACCTGAGGAATTTCTACCCCAATTTTTTAAACTAAGAAATGAAGGAAAGCTTCTGCTTCTCTACTGCTGATCTTTGCTAGGTCTAATTGCAAAAAAGTGTCTAATAAAAAGCTGTAAGTACAATTAGAGGTGCTCAGGATATAAAATTAATGTATTTCCTTCCTAACACTTCTTTGCGATGCTTCAGAGACCTGTTTAATCTCCTACATACTTCACTCTGAGGAGATTTGTACTCCCTTATGTCATTGGAATATGAGCCCAGGTTTGTGTTTGCTGTTTGGGCTGACCAACTCAATACAGAGTAACAGGATGGAATTAGGAAGGACAAAATCACACCAGCCCTCAGAGGAATGCTCTAAAGAATGGTTTGGATGGAGCAGACTACTTCCTTTGTGGCTGTGCTATCATTTGAGACCTTTAGACTAGACAGGACAAAGTCCTCGAAGGCACTCAATGGCAAACAATCGTACTTGACGCAGCATGTGACTGACTGCATGTGACCTGATTCCAGCTGGAACTCCTGGAGACAAAATTTTGATCCCTCTTGAACCAGCAGAACTCTAGCTACCAGTAAGCGTCTACATCTCTGTGCAAAATTCTCCCTGTAGACCCTCTCAATAGCATATCCTCAGTGAATTCTTTTACTGACCTTATTCTCTCTCTTTGCAGGTGGTTGGTGAGTGGAGGTTTAGTCGGATCCACTGTGATATCTTTGTAACCCTTGATGTTATGATGTGTACTGCCAGTATCCTCAACCTCTGTGCCATCAGCATTGACAGGTGAGGGCTCCATGGCAGCAAGTTCTGTCAAATCCATGGTAGCAAGTCACTGCCATCTTTATATGGTCTTATTTTACGTGTGACTCAGAGGGTTGAATATGGTGTGTTACTGACGTCTTTGAAGAGCAATTTAGAGGACCTAAATGAGGTCTGAGCAGCGATTCCATCAGAGGCAGACATAGAAACACTGGTCTTAAGAGTGTAAATGGAATTGTCTCTGTATGTCCCCGTTAGTTCAGTCCTTCTGTTTATATACTTGAATGATGGAGCAGCCATCAGTGGGAAGGCAGTAGCTCAGAGAGAGTGGAAGAAAAATACTATGCTAAGCTGACCCCAGCTTCATGCCTTCCAAAACAGGGAACGCAGACATCTTAGAGATTCCTGACTTGCCCTATATTCTATTGCTGGACCGGGCTTTCAGACACAGTAACTAGGTGTAATTTCCCACAAAGTTTGTCAGCACTAGCAGAGTAACAATAGACTGCGTTTGTATCTCCACACTGCAGGTACACAGCAGTAGCAATGCCAATGCTGTATAATACCCGCTACAGCTCGAAGCGCAGGGTCACGGTCATGATTGCTGTGGTCTGGGTGCTTTCATTTGCCATCTCCTGCCCACTCCTCTTTGGCCTCAACAACACAGGTGAGTGTTATGCCGCCTGCAGCTGGCTATTGGCATCTTCGTGGCTTTACTGGGTCCCCAGATAGTCTTCTGTTACAAGTCAGGAATAAACATGGGGATCAGGTTTTAGGTTTATTGGGATGTATCCATACCTGTTTCGGGTGTCCTCTCCCGGTGCCATCCCAGACTATTTCTGTCAGCCACTTCTGGATCTGTTTCATCTCTTGCTGTTCCAGACCAGTGTTTTAGACACCTCAGAACTGAGGTTATGTAGAAGTTTACACAACACTCATCAATGTTACATTAACATTTGTTCACTACAAAATCAAAATCGCTCTTACATTAAAACATGTGAAGAGGAAAGTCATGGGACAAATAGCCTCACCGAGACAGGAAAGAAAAGAACTGGCTTTTCAGCCATCAGTTTCATAGGAAGACTGGATTGTATACAGCATGGGATTGGCAGGCTTTTTGTTAGAAGGCAAGCAATGGCCAGGGACTTTGGGTCCATATGTGACTCCCTATGACCCCAGGGGAGTTTGCTGTTCTGGTATGACTTCCAGCTGACACGATAGTCCCCTCTATAACCCAAACCCCTCACTCTCTGGGTATCTCTGTGCCTTCTGAAAGAGGGAGAGAGAAGGGGAAGCCAGTGCTAGCTCCCAGCAGCAGGGACAACAAGCCTGAAACTTTTTGTCTTCCAGATGAGAATGAGTGCATCATTGCCAATCCTGCCTTTGTTGTGTATTCCTCTATCGTCTCCTTCTACGTTCCCTTCATTGTCACCCTGCTGGTATATGTACAGATTTACATAGTGCTCCGGAAGCGCAGGAAGCGTGTCAACACCAAGCGCAGCAGCCACGGCCTGGACTCAGACACGCAAGCCCCGCTGAAGGTAACTAGACCTCTGCCCTGCTCTCAGCAGTCTCCATCCTTTCCCCTTCTGGCTCCACTTCGTTCCCCAAAGCAGTTCCTCCTTTCCCCAAATGGCTGGACTAGGTGAAATACTGGATCACAAAGCTGAATGCTGTGTCCTGCCATTCTGGAGTCCCCGTTGCACACTCTGGGTTATCAGGTCACTGGCTGGTGCTTCACAGGCCTCCCTGGATCTCAGGGGATGTTTCATCAGCAGATCTGCATTAGGAGCTGCTTCATTAATCAGACTGCATTTCCTTTGGCTCTGCTGAGTTTGGGTTGGGGTACCCAAGACTACAGGCTATGCTATTTTCTGAGTCAGTCCTGCTGTTGTGAAAAAGAAGTTCAAGGAAATTGTTTGCGTGGCTGGGGTGCAAACTACGTCGCTGGTAATGATACCTCTGCAGTGAAAACAGCCTCTCAAAGCATGAGATATGTCTATAAGTGGAGTCCAGCTGAGCATGTGAAGTGTGAGACCGCTTGTCAAAACGCTACTCTCGCAGCACATGCAAAACAAAAAATACGTATAGTCCCAGAGGCACTACCTCCAAACTGCATTACCTCAGAGGCCAGTGTCATGTCAAGCAAAGGAGGCAGTGAGACAGGGATACGCTGAAACATAAGCAGATCTTTGTTGTTTCCTTCCTTTGGTGAAAAGCAGAAGGGATACTTGCCTCCATTACTGGTTCTTCAGAGTAGTTTTCCATCATTCTTAGCACCTTAGTCACACTGATTAATTTCTGCTTCATGCCCTGTGTTTGTATTTCCACGTCCCTTCCTTACCAGCTTCCCTTCCCAATTACTATCTGCTTGTGTAACCTCTGAGCTGGTGCTTGCCCCTTAGGACAAATGCACTCATCCAGAAGACGTCAAGCTCTGCACAGTTATTGTGAAGTCCAATGGGAGTTTCCAAGTTAATAAGCGCAAAGTGGTGAGTGTTAAAGAGAAGTGGTAGCTTTTCAGAGTATTTAGCTTTCCCCTTTTCTCCTCTCAGGACGCAAAATGGATTTATGTAGGGTGGGAGAAAAATAAACTAAGAGCAAAGGTTACCATTCAATCTCAAAATTTAAGTATTCTTCCTACTCCTTAGAGTGAAGCAGGGGGTTTAAGATCATAGAGCTCAAAAAGCCAGACTAAGCTCACCTAAAGATCAGCTATAAAAGCCATGACACTTTGACATTTTGTGTCTTTGATTTTCTTCTCCTCGCTGTTATTTATTTTAAGTCTTGGACTGCATTGGCTTTGCTGGGTTTTGCTTGCTGATTTAATTTTTATTTATTTATATTCTGAAAACCTAAATAGAATCTATGGGGAGTGGAGACAGTGTCTCTCCCATTTCTTAGCCTCTTTGTGCAATAAAGGAGAGTCATTCACTGCTGTTCTGTTGATCCCATCTACCCAAACATATTCTTATCCATAAACATTTTACAGCCCTTTCTCCAAGCATCTACCAAAAATGTAGGGAGGGAGAAAAGGGATTGGTTGTTCTTCAACATCATCCACTTCACTCTGTAAGGAACGTTCATTGCTCCTCTCTGTGTATTTATCTGTCTTTATGTTGTCGACATTTGATTCTTGTCCAGGAGGCGGAGAGTCACATAGAAGAGATGGAAATGGAGATGGTGTCCAGTACCAGTCCCCCTGAGAAAACCACCATCAAACCAGCGGCACCAAGTAACCATCAGTTGGTTGTGCCAGTTGCTTCTAATCAGGGCACCAACTCAACCCTGCAGGCACCCTTGGACAGTCCTGGGAAAGTAGAGAAGAATGGACATGCCAAAGAAACACCCCACACAGCCAGGGTCTTTGAGATCCAGTCTATGCCCAATGGCAAGACAAGGACCTCTCTCAAGACTGTGAGCAGGAGGAAACTGTCACAGCAGAAAGAAAAGAAAGCCACTCAGATGCTAGCCATTGTACTTGGTGAGAATGCACATTGGCTTCCTCTTGTGTTTCTGCAGAAAACCAATAGCTACCCAGGATTAGGGTAACCAGTCTGAATGTCCAGCATAGACTGTTTTTCCAGGCCTCCACAGAAATAATTTCACTGGATATGTTAGAGGATATGTAGGCAAGAGGCTGCCAATAGGAAGGCTACCTCCTTCCCAGCTAGGAACAGTTCACAGTGCTGTACAAAAGGCTCAGGAAGCTGTCCATCTGTGGGGTGTTTGGACTGCCAAAAGACAGCTGGGTGCAGGGGCAAGAGAGCTAGCTCATAGGCTTTGTAGAACACAAAAGGCAGCATAGCTCAGCAAGAAACTGGCACCTTGAAAGGCCAGGTTTTTTTGATGTAGCTGGTCTAATTACATCAGCAAAGAAGTTCTTTAGTACCTGGATACTCAGAATATAGACTATGAGACTTAACAGACAAGCAGAAGGCTTATTCCTCAGGGAAACGTTTTTCCTTTATACCCAAAAGAATCTTACTGTTCTCATAGTCTCAAAATTTGTCCAGCTTTCAGCAATCAAAATCTCTTTCCTTTTCCTCCAGGAGTTTTCATCATCTGCTGGCTCCCATTCTTCATCACTCACATCCTGAACATGCACTGCGATTGCAACATCCCCCCAGCAATGTACAGCGCCTTTACATGGCTTGGATATGTCAACAGTGCTGTCAACCCAATTATTTACACCACCTTCAACATTGAATTTCGCAAGGCTTTCATGAAGATCCTCCACTGTTAAAAGTAAAAACAGCAACCACATTTTTAAGAATGCGAAAAAAGAAACCAATGGCATTCATGCACACAAACAGGCAGCCATGGGGAGGTCTCGAGCTCTTGTATTGGGCATGAGGCCTACAGTGTTAGAACAGTGCCCTGCCCATGCGCCTCTTGGTGGGGATGTAACAAGGACCTTCATGTGGGAGGTTCTCTCATCCCTCGAGGTGACCTTTGGACTCTGGGACACCAATCCCAAGAGCTACCCTCACACTGTGTTTAAAGCGGAAGCAAAAATGAAGGTACACTCACTTGATTCTTGCCTGTGGCTATCTAACCTTGAGTGCATTAAACACAGACAGTCGCAGAACCATGTGAAGGTAGCAATAGGTCACTGCCACTTCTGGCTTGTGTGTTATGTCATTGATACAGTTCTCACCAAAGACAAGACCATCTTTTCCGCTTTGCAATAGGAGCCAGACAGAGCTTGCGGAAACTCCATGCAATAGCTTTGCCTTCACCTCAAGCTGACTTACAAAGTATTAAGCTGCTGAAGCCTTGAGAAAAAACTTTAAGAGGTCCCCAAGTGGGCTAAGAAGGTTCTGCCCCCTACAAATCCAATCCCTGCAACAATGTGGGCCTACAAGCGACGGGCAGAAGGAAGAAGGGGAGCATAAGTCTCATGTGGGACCACCACCTCAGTGTAAATAAGAATAATAGGATGAATTGAACAGAAGCCCAAGCCAAAAAATAGATGGAGAGAAGCTAAAGAAGTGATACCTTGTATTGCATGGTATACATTCAGATCAAACAGGACACCAACTATCATCTACCATCAGCCAGCGCAGCAGCAATTTCTGCCCACCAGCGTTTCATCTCCAGTCTCTTACAAGAAGTTCCAAAACTAGGTGAGGAGTGTTAGTGTGGCGAACGTAGAAACATGAAGACAGTGTGCCAGGTGAGGCATCTGCAGCCATGTCCGTTTCAGATGTGAACTTGAACGAGTCAGCTAAGTTAGGTCCAGTTCTTCTCGCCTAACTTCAGGGCGCCATGAAGCCAAGGACCACCTCAGATGATTTGCCTATGTCTCTCAATAGAGAGAGTGCAGAATAACATCGTGCCTAATTTAAATTAACAGTAAATGAGATAAAACTGTGTGTTTTGGAAAAAGCCAGAATAAAACCCCAAGGAAGTCCCTAGCTGGACCTGCTCCTGTGTCCAAGTTGGACTCTGGAAAGGTCTGGATGTTTCCAGCATCCCTTACCCTCTGATATCTATCTTCCATGGATTAAAACAATTGAAAACCCATAACAGCATAATTTCAACCATGCTGACTCTGGCATTGCCAAATCCACACTGTTCTTACTAATTGTACTCAGTTCACAATATATTTTGTAATATCTCTGTAAATAAAATATAGTAAGATGAATGAAATGACATGGAAATAGGTCTGGCTAGAAATTAATGTAGGATCTGGAGAACAAGATGATTACAATAGCCATATGCAGAGGCAGGCTCCCAAGTTCTAGTGACCTGCTCTTTTCTAAAGATGTTAAAACATAATCCAGAGAGCAATATAATCCCTTTTCTCTCAATGCAGTTTGTGGAATATTCACATAGTTTCTGTTTCAGAATAGATAAAGACTGCTGCCAAGGGGGGTTTTTTTTGTTCTCTGGTTTTCCTATATTGTTAACAAAGCATTTTCCTGTGGGATGGACTGTGCTGGTAGAATATGTTCCAGCTGTATATCAAGAAGAGACTATGTCAAAGCAGGTATAACACATGCTGTCATCTGTTTTCTGAAATTGAAACAGGAGTCCCACCTTGATCCAAAGGTTTCCATTCTAAACCTTGTATTCCTGGAAGAGGCCGATAAGCAGTGTTATTAGTATTTAGCCCGCGGGCTTGTATAACATTTGAACATGTCTCTTCAAGGTGTGTTCATAGCTATAAGTTTAAATGAAGAGTGATCCTAAAGATGCCTAAATGTGTCCCAGCTTAGTGAAGGATTTTAGCATATACCCTCAGCAGAAATAGGTCCTATGTATTAACTGAATAGGAGAGTATGTGCTTATCGGAGCAACATTTTGTTGACATACATGAGCCAGATGTTACATGATGCTGTCAGAACAAAATGTTACAAACATGTAAGATGGGGCCAGTCACTCTTCTGTCTTAGCACAGCTAGGGAACCTTTGTACTTTGTACGTTAATAGGATTATAGTCAAGGGAAAACCCACCTCTTACAGAAGCACAGGAAACTTTCCAATCCTTTTTTAATCAGAAAATTGGAAACGCTAACTCAAGAGGTCTCAGGCATATATTATCTGTTCTTTTTTTTTTCCAATTTTAACCAAGCAAGTTCACTCAGTGATGGGGATCAACTCAGACTGGTATTAATTAAAAGATTCAAGGAATAATGTAAAGTCAGTAGTTTTTTTGGTGGAAAAATAGTAACAAGCTACTGCTCAATTTTCTAACATATTTACAATTGCATAGCAGAACGGTGCCATTTGACTTAGTGAATTAACAGGTGGGGAGCTCAATCAAAATAGAAAATAATACGCATATAGACAAAAAAGCTTTAAAGCATTTGGAAGTTGCCATAGGTGATATTTGCTCTGTACTAAAACCTGGTGTGAGCCCTCAAAATAAGTGGAATGTGAATAATGTCTTAACTTTGTGCCATAATTTTATTTTGTATTCAGTGTTAACCCAGGACAAAATAATGATCTTCAATACTCTACTACCTTGTTCGAAAATTTTGTTTCTGAATCTAGATGCAGAACCTTATAGCTCAGCTCACCTGAACTACTAGATTAAAAAACTCTTCCAAAACGTCGTGAAGGAAAAGAGCTGCTGAAAAAGGGCCTACACATCCTTCATATGTTTGCTAACTTCGACCAAAAAAACCAGGTGTCATTTCCTAGAGATTAAGTATTTGTTGGGAGAAACTACCTGCAGCCCATCATTCATCCCAATGACGCTTTAAGCCACTCGTTCCTAGCACTCCACACTCAAAGGTATCTTGTGGGAATATCTATATCACCACTGCCCTTGGAAAGGTGGTAATGCCGTATCTGTTCATCTCCTCTGCAGCAGGTTTTCCTTTCCCATAAAACATCTACACTTAAAGACAACGAACTAAAGCACTTTCACCCATGAATCAAGCCTTCCTAACTCTTTTTGAGAGAGGACCAAAATACATTATCACCTCTGACTTTACAAAGAATAAACTAATGCCAAGAGCAAGGGCAGTCTTTGCAGTCTGTTTGTACAGCACCTAGCACAATGACAACCAGCCCATAGTTGTGATGGAAGGTGTTTGTAGAAACTTCTGAAAATTATGAGAAGTCAGTTGCATCATACAGGACTCTGAGGCCTCTTGCTCACAGATCTGAGTCTGGCAAATACAGTCCTCACTGTTACTTCCACTTTGGAAAAAATACTGCTTTCCCAAGGACTTCAGATGGTGGGACATGCTGATGATGGTAAGGGTACTGATATGTTTTTTAAAACACATTAGTGAGAAGATTTTATTTCTTCATTCCTGAAGAGGAACTTAAGACCCTTGCTATAGTCCTTATTTTGTGATTCATTATTTGTAATTGAAGCTTTAGTTCTGCTTAGTGAGTCTTCCTGTTCCTGCTTTTCTTCCCTGTGATTCACAGCTCGCTGAAGCCTATGTGGCTCTCTGCACCCCCTGAACAGGTTTTAATTAAGAAGCTAGTGAATTCTGCCTGCACTGTATTTGGCGCTTGCCTGCTTGCTCCCACTACAGTCATGATACTGTTTATCTTCCTGATTGAAGAGTAAACTAATTACGGTACGTCTAACCAGCTTATTAAATCCTGCCGAAATAAAAAGGAAAACCCAAAAAAAGCCACTACCTTTGTGGTGAAAATCTCCAGTGAAAACATGACTCCCTGAAGAGTCAAGAATGTATAATACCCATCACAAGTACCTGTGACACCAACAAATGTCTTCATGCAGCACTGTAATTAAATAGAGACTTGCACAAGCTACCCTGATGTTATATGCTTATTTCTGTCTTTTTACCAGAAGCAGCACCAATGATGTTTAGCTGTAAGGGGTCAGACTCTATGGTTATGCTATACATCATACAAACATGTAACGGGAAAAGATGGCCTTCAGATGAGATCTTGTATTTTTTCTGACTTGCTTTTCAGATTAGTTGAATTTTTTCTTTTTCTCCCTTATCCCAGTCTATCCTTAAAAATTCTAGCTTTTGTCTAGACTGAAGCTAGGAGAATCAGACATGGGAAAGAAAGGGTGCAGAAAGACACAGACAGAAAAGAAAATGTTCTTAAATTTCTCCGTCTCTCTTCTCTTCTAGACAGAAGCAGACTGGGGAGGATTTGGAGGAGGAAGGGATGAAAAACAGATAAGTACCTAGCCAAAAGCGGTCATGCTGGTACTTCTGGCATCACAATAGCTGCCTGTATTTACTTTTTGGCACTAGTCATTCACATCTGGTCCATAGCAGTACAGGTTCAAGATGGGGATTGAAAGCCACTACTCTCACTGGGACACCGTTTGTCTACCTGAGCTGTAAAAGTTGAGGGAAACAAATATATATGAGTCAAACACAGGCACCAACCTGTATGAGTTTGGCTGGCAACAATAAACAGTTGTGTGGGATCTACAAACTCGCAATCTCTCTGCATGGAAAAAATAAATAGAAGCTGTCAGACCACTATGGCGCTGCAGACAATTTGTAAGATAAGTACAATATTTTTAATGCTGTATTTTATGCAGAAGTTAATATGCCCCCAAAAAGTAATTATGGACTTCACTTGGCTAAGCACACCTAACGTAAGAATTCACATCAGTGGGAGTATTTCAGCTGTCTACCTCTATCACTTGGTCTTGCATAAAAGGTTTTGGTGAAGACACTGCATGGGGCTGGCAGTGCAGCCAAAACCAGTACAGTAGCTTATGCCAAGGTTAAGTAACTAGTCACATGGAGTTTTTTTCCTTTTGTGTTTCACTTGATTTTTATG